TTATTTATTAATTAATAATTCTCGATTTTCATAGCCCGGAACGGGCTGTTCCACTTTGGGAACGGGCCGTTCTGGTTTTGGAAAGGGACGTTCTGGGAGAGTCTTTTGTACCTGTTCTGTGTGCCCAGAACAGGCCGTTCCGGATTCGGAACGGGTCTGTTCCGGATTCGGAACGGGTCGTTCTGGCCGTGGCCTGATGCCTATAAATAAAGCGTTTTGCACTCTCTAAAACTCATTTTTTTCATTTTCTAATATTTTTCCTCCTTCTTCTCTGAAGACGAAGGTGAACCTAGAGGGGGCGACCAGCAAGATTTGGCTCCTGCTTATCGAGGTAAGGGGGGAGTGAGAAACTTTGCTCTGAGTGTGGGATTGTATGTAGGGTAGTGAGATTGGCCCTAATCCTGTGTTTGTTGTATTTTTTGTATGCTTATGTATGAGGGATTTTTCCCAATTGTATCTATTTTGCCTATTTTTTTCTTATATGTAATTAATTGTATGAATTGAGATTTCTATGGGTTCCTATGGGAAACCCTAAGGGAATGCATTGATAATTGTAAGAGGCAAATTTTAAAAGTTTTCTATTTTACCTTCTGAGTTTTCTATTATGTTTCTTGATATTTGCTGAGTGTAAATGTGTGTCTAATCTTGAAAATGAACAAGTTTTGATATGAATTAGAGTGCTCTGTGGGTTACTGTAAGAACCCTATGAGAAACAGGCAAAATATGAATGTTTTTTGTTTTGCTTTCTGATTGTTCTGATGTATTTCTTATTGAATGAGATGTATAAATATGTGTTTATTTTTAAAAATAGACTAATTTTGATATGATTTTGAGTGCTCTGTAGAGACTATGTGAATATGATGAGATGATGTGAAAAGTGATGACTATGTGAATATCATGAGATGATGTGAAAAGTGATGACTATGTGAATATGATGAGATGATGTGAAAAGTGATAATGAGACATGATAATGTGATATGGGAATGAGACATGAAAATGTGATATGAGAAAAGCATGGAGTCTTGATTGACATGCATCATATGCATAAATGTTTTTAAGGATACGATATGGAATACACTGCCAGAGAAGGCCCCCTAGTGTAAAAGCTTTGGGGATTAGTCCTTGGGGATAGCTCGGTTTGGAAGTCTCAGTCTCGCCCATCGTGTGCATGGGATGTATCTTGCGCGGCTTAGCTATCCCGACGAGACTCTGGTAGTATGTCCTTCTAGTGAGAGTGCGCAGAGGGTGTGACCCGGCATGTACTCCTAGACTACTCTTCGTGTATTGC